CTAATAAACTTCGTGTATTTTATCAGTGTATTTTTTTTTTCCAGCCATAAAAACTAATAAACCAAAGTACAAAAGCTGCATTTATTTATTTATTTTTTTACTACAAAACCCGCTGGTCTCATAAAACAATCTGATCCTAATGACTGAGGCTTTGAAATAAGGAGAAATCCCAGCACGTGAAATACCAGGAGCTAACCTGGGTGGCACAGGGAGCCCCGTTTGGGGTGGCAGCACTGCAGCCAGGCACTGGAGGGGATGCACATCGCATGCTGAACCCAAAATGCCCCAGACGGCTGTGGCTGAGCATCATCCTTCCCTGGCTGGAGAAAATTACTCAGTGCTCAGCCTGAACTCCAAGTCACCTCCACACAGTGTCTGAGCCAGCCACATGCCTTGGTGGGTCTCGTTTTTTTTTTTTTTTCCTGCTAATACACTCATGCAGATAACTTTATAAGGAGACTTAAACAAGCTTGATAAAGATACAAACCACTTTTGCATCTTCTCTGAGCTTCCTGCTTGTCTAAGCAATATGGATTTGGGCTTATTTTTGGCTGATGTCCTGCCCACGCCATCCTGGGGCTGCATCTTTTCTCTGAACCCCTCCCTGTCTACCAACATCTTCCTGGGAAGGAGATGCCCCTAGCAGATTACCGGAGAAATCACCTATGCAGCCTCAAAGAGCAACCTTACAAACCCAAAACTCTTTCAGGGGTTACTCTGCATTCCTGCTCAGGCTGTTCGTGGGAATGCACAGAAATCTGGCATTCTTTAGCCTGAACAATGTTGCCCCAAACCCCCTCGGGTCAGGCCTCCAAAACAATGGGACTGATTTATAAATCATCAGCTGAAAAACACGGCACCCGTTTTGGGCTGCAGGGTTTGTTTTCTGCTAGCTTTGAGCCCCGGAAACCACACCTGGGGAGAAGAGTCCCTTCGCCAGGCTGCTGTTCCACAAGGCACTGAAAAGTTTTTAAAGCAGTGAGCCACTTTTGTCCTGAAGTCACCTGATGCCAGAAATCGGGGCTTTTAAAGAAAAGCACCAAAATAACAGGAGAAAAAAATTACACAGGATACTAACGTTGACTTAAATACACCCCGTGCCCTTAAAATGAGATGGGTATGGTGATGCCTGCCCCATTAACTCCCCTTACTGCCTGCTTACAGAGGACAGAGTCCAAGTCCCATCCCAGTGCTCCCATTACAAACCAGTCCTGCAGCCCAACGGCGGGTAGGTGGCGGAGATAAAGTTACTGGGGTGAGAATAAGGCATGGAGCCACAACACCTTGATCCCACGGCATCTCAGAGAAACCCTCTTGGCTCCGAACCAGCCCCAACCCAGCCGGCCCGAGCGATGCTTTGTGTTTGGGAACCGAGGCAGTGCTCTGCCAGCTTCCCCTTCCCGCAATTTTTCCGGGACTGTGTGAATGCAGAAAACCCAGGGATTTAGGGGAAATAGCAGGGAATCTAAGCGGGAAGGGCAACATTAGGGCAAACACAGCTTTAGGGGCTGTAAAAACCTACCCCAGCTGCCAGCAGCGCAGAGCACGAGGATGCCGAGGGCGATGCGGAGCTTCCCCATCTTCTCCTCCGAGCCCCGGGGTGCCGGGGGGTGTCGGGACCAGCCCTGCCGTGAGCGATGGAGAGCGGCTCTGGGGCAAAACCTCCGGGTTTTGAGCCGTCCAGAAGATGAATCATGAGCCTGGGTGTGTGACACAGGCGCGGAGCGGGGCCGGCCGGAGGAAACTGCGCTGGCTCGTCACTCAAATTTGAGTCAGGGAGTGGCCCCCCCCCATCCTGCCCGGAGCTCCTCACCCTTTTTCCCTTTCGCAGCTCACACAAGGACCCAATGAACCCGGGAAGAAAGCACGGGGCACCGGCGACCCGCACGAACAGGCTCTTTCCCATAGGCTCTTTTGCCGGGGTTTAATTCCTTGCAAAATCCTACTCACACCCTCCTTTTATTAACTCTTGCGTGAAAGGCAGCCCGGCTTTTAAACCTGCCGAGGCTGAGCTGCCTGAGAGCTGAAGGATTTAAGGGGAAATAGAGCAACTGCATAGCGAAATGAAAGTGTGTGTGTGTGGGGGGGTCTTGGGGACCCTCCCCAGGGCACTGCAGGTGGAGACATCCCTGGTGGAACGGGGAGGGGAGACCCACAGAGAGCAGAGACTTGGACCCGGCAGGACCAGTTGGGTACAAACCCGGACATCACAAAGGGAGGGAAATTCAGATTTGGGTTGGGTGATTCGGACCCGATTCTCTTCTCTCCCGTGCTGTTTTTCTCACCCACATCCTCACAAATCGCTCCTGTACCAAGCAAGGAGTCAGATCTGCGCAGGAACCTTCCCTGCTGAAATACCCAAAGAAATGCCTCCCAAAGAGGTTTTAAAAACCTCTCGTCCCCCAGGGTCCTACTCGGAGATGGGGAAACTGAGGCAGGCAAATACAGGCTGGGCTGCCAAGGGAGGGAAGGGCTGCTCCCCCCACCGGGTGACGGGGGCTGGGGCCAGCAATGGCAAAACCTGGGGTGGGGGTAATCCCGGGGGGAGCAGAAAAGGAGCTGGTGCGGAGTACAGGGTGCTGTGCGGGGAGAAACGGGGATCGCTGCATCTGCCCGGAGCCTCAGAGACGAGGTGAGATGGGGCTGGGGGCTCTGCCTCGGGAGCCGGGGGATTTTTCTTGGCTGTAAAAGAAGTTTCGGTGAGTTTTTGCTTCCTCCGCTCGCTGCCACCATCCCGGCGGGTGCTGCTGCCCTCCTGCGGCTGCCTGGGCTCTGCTCGGGGGGGTCATTTTCCTCCCGGCTTCTCCCCCCTGACTTTTTAACGTGGATTTGGTAATGAGAAGCCCATCGACCCTCACGCAGTGTTGAAAAAGTGCTGCTTCTTGGTTGGAAAATAAAATAAATAACACCCCAAAGCTGCCTTCTGAGGGCTCTCGATCTTTCCCTGCTCCAGCTCCCGCAGCCATCTCAGCCTGCTGACCCCATAAGCCAGCTTTGGGGCACCCCAATTCCTGCTTTCATTGCATGTGTCCCCCTGTCCCTGCCTGGAAATGCCACTGGTGTGTCTTTTCCCCCTGGTGCATGGCTTTCTGGCCAGCCTGTCCCTGTGCGTTGCACTGGACCACCCCAGGAACAGGTTTGAAGCTTTGTGGCTGGGTTTGTCTCAAAGATTTGACCGAGTGAGTTGTCAGTCCCAAAAGTCCTCTTCACTGGGGCCTCATCCTGCCTAGCAGCTGGTTGCCTGAACCTGCAAGTGCTGCCAGCTCCAAAGGGACACAGACCCCTGTGTCCCCTCCCTGAGCCAGCACGATCGGGACCCTCACAGCACGGGGGGATACTCCAGCCCTTGCTGCCAGCATGATGCAAAAAAAAACCCCACAACAACAAACAAACAAACAAACAAACAAAAAAAACTTTGAAAAAGAAGGAAAAAGCCACAAAATGAAACGTTTGACTTCCTGTGCCCTCCTGGGCTCTCACCCTGCCCGAAGATGAGGATGGACCCGTTTTCCTGGCTGACTGCAGGAAGGTGCTGCTTGTCCTGCAAGCATCACTGTGATGGTGACATGGGGTGCACATAGGGCAGGGTGCACCGAGAAGAGTTTGGGCTCCTATCGCTGCTCTTTGGGGCTGGATACGGTCTGGAGAGCTGCACAAAAACTGGTCCTAGGGGAATAAATCATGGGATGCTCTGTGTCATGAAGCCTGTGGTTGGATTAAGGTAAAGAGCAGCCCAGGGAGTACCCAAGAGCTGAGCCACCCCATGTCCCCAGCTTCTCCAGCACTGCAGCTGGTGGCTGTGACCCCAGTGCCACGGCTGCAGTGGCCGGATCGGGCACGGAGGAGAGGCTGGAGCTGGAGCTGGAGCCAGCAGAGGGAGCAGAAACTCCTCTGGTCTGGAGGCAGCGGGGAGAGGAGCTGCCACTGGGATGCTCTGGTTTTCCCTGGGGATTTTGCCTGGGCCTGGGGTTAAGTGCGAAGGGTCCCTGTCCTGATGGGTCCCTGTCCCGATGGGTCCCTGTCCTGATGGGTCCCTGTCTTGCCGGGCTTTCTGCTTCCCCCGGTGCTGCCCTGCTGGGACAGCAACGCCATGGGATGAAACAAGGAGGTAAAAAGCAACAAGTAAACCCCAAACCTAGCTGCTTTTGGGCCCTTAAATGTCACAAAAGCAAAAAGAGGCACTCAGCTCCTGGCTGTGTAAAAGAAAAATCAGTTGACACGCTTCCCACTGAGCCTCCCTTTACCCGCAGCCAGCCGGCCTCCTGCTTCTGCCTTTAGCTGCAATTTATCAATTCTCATTTGGGTTTATTAAAATCCCCTCTGGGGGCTGCACAAGGAAAGTGATCCAAGACGTACACAGATAAATCAGAGCGAGGTCCCCACATCACGGCAAGCTCCTGTTCCTCGCTGTCCAGATGCATCTGGACCCATGCATGGTGCCGGCTGGCCCGTGGGTGTAGGATCCCAAGCTGGGGACAGGAATTGGGGGGCAGCATCCCTGTGCTCCCCTTTGAAGGGGGCGAAGGAGCAAGAGGAGAGGGAGAAAAATGTGCCCTGGGGACAACCCCCCCCAGCCAGAGGATGCTGAGAGAGGGACGGATCCAGCCCTGCCATAGGACAGGCAGCGCTGAGCAGAGCTGGGGGTGGACTGGGCAGGATTGGGCCAGCGCTGCTCCTAAGGAAGGAGTGGGTGGCACAGAGCAGCAAGCGGGGAGCGGAGAGAGCAGCAGGGACCTGAGGCTGCGGGCAGGGTGCGAGGGGGGGGACGACAAGGGACCTGCCACCCACCTGGGGCTGGCACCTGGTGGGATTGGGGAGCAGGTGGAGGGGCTGGGGGCGAGGATGTGTTAGGGGCAGGACCCTAGGGGTCAGCCCCCACCCAGGGGTGGCAGTGGGGTGGGTGCGGGCACCCAGAGCGGGGCGAGGGGCTGCACCCGCGTGGGGAAGGGGTGGGCAGCCTGGGTGAGCGTGGAGGGGGGGGGAAGGCGGTCCTGGGGGGAGGCTGCAAGGGGGTGGAGTTGCTGGTTTGTCTTTGAACACGGGGAAGACTTTTAGCTGGGAACTTGCATCCGTGGAGCTCCCAGCCGGCAGGCATCGGTCCCCTGCTCCTGCCGGGAGGTCCCCAGCGCCCGTCCCTTGGGGTGGCAGCGAGGGCAGGGGGTATGTGGCCACCTTTGGCCACCTTCCTCTCCCCTGCACGCCCTTTGCCTTTCCTCTGCCTCTCGCTCTGCTTGCTCGGGGACTTGTGCTGAGCTGCTCGTGCCAGGAGGGAGCCGGCAGCGAGCTGCACAAATTGGCTTCCCGTCCACCCCGGGCGTCGTGAGGAGGGAGGCAGGAGGGGGCACGGAGCCCGCCGGGATGTGAGGGTGGGCAGGGGGACAGCACGCATCCCTCCTGCCTCCCTTGGAGATCTGGGACCGCGCACAGACCATGAATGGATCCTTCTTCAACCAGACTCTCCTCGAGCAAGGAGCTTACCCCAACAGGACCCAGGGCTTGGGGATGCTCCTGGCCTGCTGCAATGGGACCGGCTCGGTGCTGGCGACCGACGGCGGCTCCTTGGTCCTCGCGCCGGACGAGAGGAGCCTGTACATCACGCGGGTGGTGCAGATCGCCGTCCTCTGCGTCCTCTCCTTGACTGTGGTGTTTGGCATCTTCTTTTTGGGCTGCAACTTGCTCATCAAGTCGGAGAGCATGATTAACTTTCTGGTGAAGGACCGGAGACCTTCCAAGGATGTGGGAGCTGCGATCATGGGGCTTTACTGAAGCCACGGGGCACCTGTAGGCAAGTGAACTGGCTGGACCTGGTGCTGTGATGCAGATTCCCGTGTGTTTGGGGCAGCTGGGGACAGTGGGAAGGGGGACGATGGCTTTTAATGTGTCTGTGTCCATGGGGAAGCAAATCTGCGCTTCCCAGTGAAGGAACTGTTGTGGTGAAGGGGGAGATGTCCCTGGCGCTGTATCAAGCACAATAATTGACCAGCCTCGTGTTGCATGCAGAAATGGCTTAAGTTTTGCATGAAACTTGCAGAAACAGTGATAATGTGCAGATTTGGACTCTTTTTCTGCTGTTACCTTGGATACCGCTACTTGGGATTTAGGGCTAAAAAAAAAAAAGTGTAAAAAGCAAACTACTCACTACAAAAAGAAAACAAAGTAATGGGAAAGTGAAATTTGTGGCACAGGCCACATCGTTGGCCATGGGGCAGGGGCAGGGAAGGGTTGGGTGGGTTGTACAACAAAGTCTGCATGCTACAAAATGTGTTGGTCTGTTTGTGTTTTGGACATCGAGCATGCACTGTCTGGCAGTTTTGTAATGAGGAGAGCATGTTCTTCCTTATTTTTTTGTTAAATAAACTGGTACTGTCTTTTTTTCACAACACTGAAGGAAGAAAAGAAACCCAGATCAATACAAAAACCCTACCCCAAACCCAAAACAAAAGCATGCTTGTTTTTGTACATAACAACCTTTTTTTTTTTTTTTTTTTTTTCTAAGTGCTATATTGTTACAGTCCTTGAGGTTTTTGTAGTTTTTTTTTTTTGAAAACTGTTGAACATTCAGGAAAAAGAAAAAAATAATGAACCTGTTTCAAAAGAATTTCTTGTTGTCTTCATTTTCTTTTCCCGTGTGTGCAGAGCTCAGGTATTTCAATCCCAATTCCAGAGCTTAAATATAGTCATCTCACCTTCCAGTTGAACTCTTATTAAAGACAGTTATTTAAAGCAGAAACTACCATATATTGTTTTCACAGGCAAGTATCAGCTTCCACTACCAAATACATTTGTCAGGAACTACGTATTTTGGGCTGGTGTTAAATTCCTGCACAGTACCAAAACACAGAGTTTTCACAAAGATGCATCAAACACATCTTGCAAGGCAAGATTTCAGACCCTGAGTTGAAATCTCCATCTCCTCTGATCCTGATGAGCTGTCAAAACTAAATTATGTGAGAGGAGGAGGACTCCTGACCTTTGTGCTGTGATGGAATTGCAGCTCTGTCTGTGGGTGTGAGATGGAAATGATTTGAGTTTTGTTGCCCCAACAATATTCCTGCTGGGTCTGCTTCTGTGGTGGGAAAGCGATCCTGGATCCCGGAGGAGCTGCTGCTTTGATGTATGGGGATGTAAATCCTGAGCAGCTCTCTGCTGTTCCCTGATGCAGGAGTGGGATTAGGGCATGGCTTGTAGTTAATCAGTGCTTGCTGAGCACCTTCTTCAGGGATCCCACAGGATATTGTTGGGCTAGCCCTGATGCAGAGCGAGATTCGTGCAGTCCTGTCACTGATTGCTCCCGCTAACCTTAGGAGCACAAAGACACCGCAACAGCAGGACCACGATTTGGGAGCCAGAGCTCTGGATTGTCCCACTGGTGCAAACACCCTGCTCTGCCAATCTTCACCATGTACTCACGTGTAAAGCCTAAACGCATCCCTGCGTCTCCAGGTGGCAGGGGTCAGGGGGGACTCGTAGGGTGATCACCGTTGTCTTCCTCTGCAAGCAGGGGAGGAAGAGAGGGCTCGGCAGGAGCCTGACGAATGCTCTGAAGAAGCCTCTTTCTTCCATGGATCAGCCACTGGAGCTGGTTAGCTCTGCTGGAAGCTCCCCCAGCCTCTGAATCTGACCCTGAGGGGCTCACGTTGGGCCTGGAGCCCACACGAAGCAGACACACACCTCAGCAACCTCTGTGTGGTACAGGGGTCTTGCTGCCCTGTGGGGAAGGGTGGCTCTGCGATGTGACAGAGCCACCAGCTCGTCCTAAGGGTCCTTACAGGCCACCTCCAGCTGCTGTAGGGTCACGTACACAAGAGGTGGGGGAGGCAATGCAGTGCCTCAGAAAGCTGAGCTGGCCCCCACTGAGACCCGTGGGGCTTGCTCGGGAGTCACTTAGAGGAGGGGGGACTTTACGCGTGGCCTCATGGGGCAAGAACTCAACTTCATTCATCCTCTAGTCCTGTTACGTCCCTTCCTTGGCCATGAGGGCTCTGTCTGCATTGCCAGGCAGCGAGGACCAGCAGAGGAGGGGCTGCAGGGTGGGCACCATCCAGGTTTGCCGCACCACATGGTGTGTATCCCCCCGAGGTGACTGGGCTTCTGCCTTGCTCACAGTGAGGTTAAAGCACCTGCACACAAATCCCATTAGAGTCCCAATGAAAAGATGATGGCCCCACTGAGAGAAGGAAATATTTGGGGAAAAGGAGACCTCAGGAGGACCAATGTCAGCACGGTGACAGCAAGGTGAGACCAGAAGGAAAGATGGGAGGGAGGATGGTGAGGGCACCACGATGCTCCCCAGACCTCAGGCTGCCACCCCAGGTCCTGGGGACCCGGCTGCTCTGCCAAGGGGCACGAGTCCTGCAGCCGGAGGATGAGCTGCTTGCTCCGGGGCTGGTGTAAGGAAAGCATCCCATAATAATGGCTCCTTCTGCTGCCCTTCCCCCACAGATATCTGTGCTTTCTCATCTCATCTCCCGCCCACTCATTTAGCTCAAGCTTGCAAGTGGGTACTGGTTCCCAAGAAAATTTTAAGCAGTTTTTTCCCTTTTTTTTTTTTTTTTTGAAGGAGAACAGTTTAAGGTTATTTTGATTTTTTATATATATATACTTAATTGCTGCTTGTAGTTCATTAGCTCCCAGAACGTCACTGGGGTGCCAGTACAAGTATGTCTGAGAGACTGCACTGGCTGTAAAATACAGCAGAGAGAGGAGGGATGTGCTCGGGGGGAGCCGCACATCAGTGGCAGAGTGAGGACCAGACCTCGAGTCCCATTTAAGCTCATCTCCTAGCGGTGGAAGGCAAGGAACCAACACAATCCACAACCCTGACCTGTGGGACTGGCCACACTGGTCTGAGCCATGGGTCCTGCTTTATCGGCACCTTTTCTCTGGAAATAGTCATGATTTTAGGCAGCATGTGGGCCGTCAAGCAGTCCTGCTAATGGGAAACTGCTTCTTGGCCCCACCATGAGAAACCTGCCCTGGACCTTCAGTGGTCCTCCTCCAGGAGCTGTCCCCATCTCCGGGCTGGTCCCCGCTCTGCTCCAGCTGGAATTTCTGATTTCTAGACAAGCAGCAGGGAAGCAGCAGAGGCAGGCAGATGTGAGAACATTTCCCCCTGCTGAGTTTGCAAACAGGCAGCCTCTGCCTGGTGTTACAACCGGAGAAACGAAGAGCTGCCTTGACCTGCCTGGGAAAACCCAGCAACCCCGGCCATGCCGTCCTGCCTGTGGCGGGGAGAAACCCAAAGCAGGTCCCACATCTTGCCCAGCTCCTCCTCCCTGCCCTGGCAGCCTTGGCTGAGGGCAGAGAAAGAGTTAAACAAGATGAGACAGACAAACAGATTAAGGGGGAGGGAGGATCCCAACCTGAGCCTGGCACCAGATGTACCGGAGCGCGTGCACCAAACATACACAGTATTTAATAATTCCTGAGAATTGCCATGGTAATGAAGTGCAGAGTCAGGTTGTTATGGAAACAGCCTTTTTTTTTTAGGCAGGGAGGCATTACCCAGGTTGTAACCTCAATCCAGCCTGAACACTTTTCAGACAGCCCCCCCAAAATAATAAAAAAAAAAGAAGTAAAATAAAATCAAATTAGATAAGTAGCAGTTTCCTGTCTCTCGTCTGGCAGTTCTGGGCTTGTTCTGTAGGCAGGTGGAGGGAGGCTCAGACACACATCGCCCAGAAAAGCCTGGGCAATGGCTGGGAGCATCCCCCCAGGTCCTGACCCCAGTGCTGCTGGGGGTGCTGGGGCTGGACCCTTCCCCTGGCTGGTCCTGGGATGCTCCAGCACCACCTGTTTTCCCTGCCAGACCCCTGGCCTGGCTTCAGGGTGTCCCATGTGGGGGACATGGGAAGTTCATACCCATCTCTCTTGAATTTATTTGCACAAGGCAGTGGCCACGCAGAAACCCTCGTCCCAGCCAAGCCCACGGAAGGATGCTGGGATCCCACTTTCCTATGGACACCTGCACCCCAAGCACTGAAGGTCCCAAAGCCAGCATGCATAACAAAACAGGCAGTTTGGGGGCTGGAAAAGAATTAACAGGCCACGTTCCCAAAGCCAAAAGGCACACCTAAGAAGAAAGCACAGGTTCCCTGAGCTCTGGCTCAAGCTCTCTGATGGGGCATCCATCAAGTCAGAGTGGAAATCCCCCATGTCCCCGTTCTGCTTCTCATCAATGGCAAAATGCAAGCTGCTCCCATCTCCTCTCTAAGCAGCCGTTCCACCAAGTGTGGCAGGTTTGTCCAGCCGCTGCTCATATTGAATTTTAATTTAGTGCTGGATAAATCAGCAGCTCTGTGAACCTGTTTCCTATTCCGGAGGCTGAGGCAGAGCATTTAGGGTTCGCTTAGCAGAGAGATGGTCTGAAATACAGCGTGCAATTACTCAGGAACATTGCTCCATAAATCCCCGCTGCCGCTCAGCATGGTTCTCTCGCACCGGCTGTGTGAGAGCCATCAGCCTCCAGAGAAAGCCTCTGTAGTCCATTAGCTCTGACAGAGAGGGACAAGTCAGTGCCACGAGAGCCTGGTACCCAAGGGAGAGCTGAGGCCAAATGATGACAAAATTTAAGAGTATTGTAGCTGCAAAGGCATTGAAAGGGGTTTTCCCTCTTGCTCTCTGCTGAATCGGAGCTATCATGGGATTGCAGGAGCATTTAGAGTCCCTCGATGCAAAACACAGGGCCTTACAATCTGTCTGTACTGGTAAAGAGGAACAACAAGATCATTCCTGGCCACTGGGGCTTGGCTGATGGATGATACTGCTGACTTGTGCGAAGGGTTCTCAGTATGGCTCAGACCTGTGACAACAGCTCTGACCCGAACAGTCCCCGTGCAGTGGCAAAAAGACCACAGTGCACTCCAGGATATTGCTTCGGACAGTGCTGTCTGTGCAGGGTGAGCACCTCATTAGGTTTGATGGGTTTGCAGGGGCCTGCGTGCCAGTGTAGATATCTTTAAAGCAATTTTTGGGCTTTCTGAATCCAACTTGGCTTCCTCAAGTATGAATGAGGGATTGGAAACCCCAGGGTTTAGTCCTGGAGAATACATCTTTGGGCAAACAGCGAGCCCAGTGAAGCACAAAACATCCTCGGTATCCTTGACAACTGCCTCTTTGGTGGTGTTGGACAAATCTTTGAGTTCCCACCAGTTCCCCCATTAAGATGGCTTAGCCAAGCGAATCCCTAGCACTGCGGTCAAGCTTGCGCTCCTCTGATTTTACAGACAGGCAATTTCTTGGACTTGTTTGTTCCATGAGGACGTGGTTATAGAAAATTTAGCTCAGAGAAAATCAGAGTGTTGCCAACGATCAGTATGGTTTGGCACTTCCCTGAAGATATCACCGTCAAAGTGCTGGAAAGCAGCGGGGGCACTGGCAA